GCAATATATATATGCCTTTAATATATATATATATATATTAAAGGCAATGTCGTGTCGCCTCAACGACGTTGCCTTTTATAAAAATATTATATATATAAACGAGGTGACGTCGTCTCGCTTGGGAAGAAGAGAGAAGCGACGTCATCGAATTATATATATATATATATATATATATATATATATATATATATATATATATATATACCGCTCGGTATACAGTAACATATCGTACCGAGCGAATGTCGAAACACCGGTACAATTCGATATTTCAAACCTTGTTTTAAAGTTTAATATCGTGAAGAGTCGAAAGATACATTGTAATGTACTCTTTTCAAGGGCAAATCATATCACAGGTCGACTAAAACAAAATAAATGAGAACAAATTATAAGTATCAGCAATTGCATATCCAGCAAAAAAGCAGTTATAGATTCAAACAACAGGTGAGAGAAGAGCTAAAGATCAGACCTTGGAGTTGATGCCGCAGCTGCGTCGGGGTTCCTCCAAGCCCTGTCTGTGCGGCCCTCAGGCGACCTTTGAGTCCCATTTGCTGCCCCATAAACCTTCTTGCCAAACGAAGACCTTTCTGGCGGAGCATCACCGATCTTCCTGGTTTCCAACTTCTCATCGATCTGCTTCCAGTCCTGCCCCTTTTCTGCTAATACCTCTTCTCGTGGACGAGCCTCTCCAAAGGGGTTCGAACCCTTGGTCTTCTTCTCCGTTGCTCCTTTGTCCTGCTCTCCATGGGCCGGTTCCCCGTTGTTTCCATTGGACAACAGCAGCGAGCGGGGCTGCAGCACAAGCCTACGCCTTCCATCGCTGCCTTTTTCCTCCTCCCTCCTCCATGCATCAGAACCTGCGACATCCTTTTTTCTCCCCCATGTTTCGGAATCAGCGCCTCCTCCGTTGGATCCCTCCTTGGTGAACATGTCGAAACCACCCCTCCCTTCCCTGGGTCCATCGAAACCGCCGCCGCTACCGAACCTCCGGCCGTCTGCCGGCGGCGCAGTTCTCTTGCTCGAGATCCAGCTGTCCGATTCGTCCGCCTTGGACTGAGACTCAAAGAAGCCCCCTGCTCCTCCCCTCTCCCTCCTCTCTGGAACCATGGATTTCTTCGCCGATCCCCAGTCATCGACCTCATCGGCACGGGACGGCCCCAGATCCCTGTCGGATCCACCGCCAGATCCGCCGAAACCACCCCTCCTCGGCTCGTCAGAAGGCCTGGACGAGCCCCAGCGGGACGGGTTGGGGTCCTCCCCGGATGCGGCGGCCCGGCCGCGGGCGCCGCCGTAGGACTGGCCAAAGCCGCGGAAAGAGGATCGTTCGAGCTCCTCGGCGGAGCGCTCGCGGGGGCCGGTGGGGAGGAGGAGGAGCTCGTCGGGGGTGAGGCCCGCGGAGGAGGAGGAGGAGAAGGCGAGGCGAGCAGAAGAATTGTGGGAGACGGGCTTGCCGGTGGTGAACTCGGCGAGGGACATGCTCTGCGCCTTCTTCTTCTTCTTGGAGCCTTTGGTGGCGGCGGCGAGGGAAGGGAAGTCCCGCTGCTGCTGGTCTGAGGCGTCGGATGTGGAGGAGGAGTCGTCCTTGGCGACGGCCATGGCGGCCTCGTGCTGCTCGGCGTCCAACGCCCAAGAGATCGGTTTCGCCCACGCCGACCCCGAAGACGCCATCGCCCTCTTTCCGTGAAGGCTATGAACGATGCGTTGGTGGCGGCTGCGAAACGATGGACTCGGGCATACTGGAAAGCATGCGCTGTGCTTCGCATAATATAGAGAAGCGTAAGGAAGCAGGAAGCGTTGCGTCTCCTGTGTCTCTCCAGAGAGACCAAACAGTACAAGTTTATACTCCATTGGTTCGCTATGCGGATCCCACGCAGATGGTTGTGGGACCCAAACGTAGAATCAATGGAAAGCATTGCGTGTTGCACAGGAGAGTAAGCGGCAACGGTGATGACTTGGGATCGGATTCCGAGGGCGTGTTCGCAGTTGGAAATAAGTCGGCATTGTTGGAATTAATGATATCCCAATCCTTTTCATATGCAAATTACATGTATCTGAATCAATAGAAAGCCATTACACATCTAGATTTTAATTATCTATACACTTATAATTAATCTTTCATCAATTGGCTAAATATTTTAGTTGTCATTACTATTCTAAAAATTTCTACCCAAAATTGCTATGGTGGTGATTAGAATTTACTAACGCGATGGATATATTTATTTATATTTTAAATTGTATAATATTGAGTACTAATCATGATTAGTAGTGTGTGTATATATATATATATATATATATATTCTCAATTCTCATCCATCCATACATGCATGGAGGCATAAAGTTATATTTTTCTAAAGGAAAAAAGAAAAAGAAATCTGGTGCTTCTCCATTCATCATGCATGAGGGCAAGTAGCTTCGACAACCTTTATTCATCAAAAGAAATGCTTCCTTTTATCTGTTGCAATAGACGAGCTTGATTCATTCTTTCAGTTCTCCAAGAGTGGAAGTCTACGGGCAAAGCAGCGCACTAATTAAAAGGAATGGATCTTAATGGACATGAATTGATGACAAACCATATCAGGTGGAATCTGGAGCTAACCTTCTCAGCCTATTTCACTCACCACTTGTGTAGCCATTAACTAAACCGTTGCCAGGTTTGGTGGGAATGTGCTGTCGACATTCCAAAGTAGAAGAAGAAGAAGAAGAAGGTAGCAGCAGTTACTTATTCTTCTTTTCCTTCTTCTCGAGTTCCCTTGTGGAGGCTTTGCCGCTTCCTCGATGCCTTCTGCTGCAGCTCTGCGCGACGATACTACTCTTGAGCGGATTCAGCAATGCTGCTCCCATGACCGCAAGTTTCGCCACAGTGGCGGGCACTACCCAGTGCTTGGACTGCATGCAGAACAACATCAAGTCCGAAGACGCAGTCAAAGGTATACATCAACAATTATAGAGTTCCCGAAAGAAAGATCAAGAGAGTTAGAGTTGTTGTTGGTTTGATTCAAGCAGGACTAAGTGTGGCCATCAAGTGCAAATTAAGCAACGGGGAGTCCGAAACTAAAGCCACTGCTGCGGTCGAAGAAGAGGGAAGTTTCAACGTGCAGATCCCGAGCAAGCTCAGGAGCGAGTGCTTCCCGCAACTCCATGACGCCCTGGTCGTGCCTCGCCCCGGCGAGGACGGGCTGCGGCCGTCCAAGCTCGTGATCAAGTCTAAAGAGGAGGGAAGGCATACGTTCGTCGCAGCATCGGGGAAACTCTCGTTCTCGTTGGCGACGCGTGCATCGGCATTCTCCTGGCCATTGTTTGAGCACCCAGCAGAGTGGCATCGTCTCCACATGCACTTCCTCCCCTGGCGCAAGCCATGGCACCGGTTTCCTCCCTACGCTTTGCCCCACAAGCCTTGCGTATAAATCTTGCACGACTGCACATTTCCTATTGCCAGGATTTACTGGAACAAGCCTCGAGTCATTAGAACATTGATTGAGTCGGTGAGGCAACTAATCGAACAATAATTTTTTAATATTTTTTAATATTATATATATTATTAAAATATATAAAAATATTTTTATAATATAATTAAAGGCAAATTCTCTAAAGCATCTTAATTTTTCACTTTTTCCAATAGAGCGAGCTCTCTTTGTTTTATTTCGTCTCTTATATTTTAAGAAATAAGATTATCCTTAGCTTCGACACGTATAGCGTCCACCTTCGTGCCACTCATGAAGGTTTCATCATCGTTTTCTTCATCTCTATCTCATCGGTGGAGGTCTCGCCATAATCCTTGTAGACCGCACAAGGCCTCTCATTATCATTCTAGTTGCCTCCGCCCCGCCCACAAAGGCCCCGTCATCATTCTTGGGTGTCATCACTCATAGGCCTTGTGAGGCTCCTTGTCATTATCCTCGTCATCACTTGCATCCCCATGGTGATATCATAGAGTATCCTCTCGAACGCTCTCATCCTACTTTTTATCTCTTGCTCTCAAAGCTTACTCTACACATGCTCTCTTGAGAAGAGAAGAGAAGAATATAGGACAAAAGCGACAAAGACGATATTGAGAGGCCTCACAATACCTCGTGGATGGTGGGGCATTCACTAATAGTAAGCCACATTTTAGAAAATAAGAAGTGTTACGTGAGAATAAAATAAAAAGATTAGGCTATGCAAGAAGAAAAACATGAGTTTCTTTTTTAGAAATTGTCATATAATTAAAGAGGATGATAAAGGGTGAAAAAAGTAGCAAATTTTCTTCTCTTTCATCCTAATAATAATAAAAAGATAGATGTCTTTTGAAAAAATGTCATATATTCTTGTAATAAATAAATAATTGAAGTCATTTTAATTTTCTGAAACTCCAATTGACTGAACTGTTTAGGCACTTGAACAAAAAAATCTTTAAATGTCAATAAAAACAATAATAGCAAAGCAGTTGTGTGTTCATTCCTATTAGTTGTAGCAATTAACCTATTTAGGTAGTGTCTAACAATCATAAAGCGCCAATTAGAAGGCCACTTCTCAAATCACGCTTTTATTGTAGAACGAAAAAGAAAATTAATTTTACAAGTTAAAACTCTCGGCAAGGTGAGACTTATCTATCAATAATTAAAAAGAAATTACTGATGAGTCACATGGTTGAAAATTAACCTACTATCTTTGACTTAGGGTTAAGCATTTTTGGAACTCTACTAATTTAATTAGTTGGAGCCTACATATTATTATAACATATTTGCTAAGTTAATAATCCATTTTCATCAACAAAATAATCTGAAAATTCTGGCATTATAGGGTTATGATCAGAGTGTATGGAGCTATTAGTTATGAAAATTTGCATGACGTAGAGTTATCCTATGCCATTAGACTAAAATATAGATTACCCTATGTAGTTAGATCGCCTGAGTATCATAGTCTCTAGATTTAAAAAATTTATATTGAAATCTCTATAGTTATGAGAATGAAACATCTAGGTTTATTTATCCTAACGTCATCGATTTTACTTACGGAAATACAAAAATAATAGATAAAAAGATAATTTTAATATCTCAATTGATGGTAGCGGACGACATCAATGGTGACGAACGACGACGCTACTGGAGGTCATGGGTGACTGCTATGGATAAGGAGAGCAGTGGTGAGAGATGAGGGTTGCTCTACATCTGCGTCGACGTTGATGCAGTTGTCGAGTGACGAAAGGGCCACTTGATATCTACATCAACGGCTCTTTCGTCACTCGACAACTGCATCGACGCCAATGCATATGCAGAGCGACAAAAGGGTTGCTCGGCTATTGCGTCGGTGTCAACGTAGTTGTCGAGCGACATAACTCTATATCTGCATTAGTATCGATGCAGTTGCCGAGCGATAACTCTCTACATCTACGTCGATATTGATGCAAATGTCGAGCGACTCTTTCATCACTTGGTAACTACGTCGATGATGATGCAGATGTAAAACGACGAAATGACTGCTTGATAACTACGTCAGCATCGACAAAGATATAAAATAACTCTCATCTTTGATCTTATCCATAATTATCATCCATGGCCTCTAGCAATGTCGTTGTCTATCACCACCAATATCATCCATCATCATCAATTGAAACGTTGAAATTATATTTTTTTAACTAGTATTTTCATTAATAAAACCGATATTGTTATGATAAATAAACATAAATATATTATTTTTATAATTATAAATATTTTAATATAAAATTTTTAAGTCTAAAAATTAAAATGTGAAGATCTAATATACAATTAGCCCTAAAAGAGGCAACTTTTTGGTCCACTCATTGTACGAAAAACTTTCTATTTAGTTTCATATATATATTGAAAGGAATAATGGCAACACGGATTATCTCATACAAAGAACAATTTTTGGTCCCTCACACTAGCAATCTTGATAAGCTTATTTTTGTTGTTAAGGTTTATAGATGATAATAAATGAAAGCACTTTGTTGCTTTCATGTTGCAAGGTGGCGTTGCGTCCCATCAATTCGATTCCAACCTCAGGTCTATCCCTGTGGCGGGGTAGATGTCGACGCAGTCCGCCCAAGGGTTGCAGCGGCCGCAGACGCCGACCGCGACGTCCCGCAGCGCGCGCCAGACCGCGCTGTTGCACTTGAACCCGGACCCGAAGCCGATCTGCAACACCCGGTCCCCTTGGCGCACCCGCCCCTGGGCCTCCGCGTAGGCCAGCTCGTACCACAGCGAGCTGCTGCTGGTGTTGCCGAACCGGTGCAGCACGCTCCGCGACGGTTCCATGTCCGCCGCGCCCAGCCTCAGGTTCTTCTGGACCTCCTCCAGCACCCCCCGCCCCCCGGCGTGCACGCAGAAGTGCTCGAACGCCCGCCGGAAGTTCGGGATGTAGGGACGCACGCCCCTCAGCCTCAGCACCCGCCGCGCCACCAGCGTTGCCAAGAATTTGAGCAGCTCCGACGGCGGTAACACCAGGGGCCCCAGGGTGGTGATGTTGGTCTTGAGTGCGTCCCCGGCCACGGCCATCAGCTCCCGGGCCAGGGACACCCCGACTGCCCCGCGGTCGTCCTCCCGCTGGTACACACACCCGTAGCAGCCGTCGTCCGCCCCCTTGTGCGTTCTTACCGCGTGGACCAGCCGGTACTTGGCCCGCCCCGCGTCCGCCCGTCGGTTGGACAGCAGGACGGCGGCGCCACCCATCCGGAAGATGCAGTTGGACAACAGCATGGAGCGTTCGTTGCCGAAGTACCAGTTCAGCGTAATGTTCTCCGTGCTCAGCACGACCGCATAGGCGTTGGGGTTCGCCTGGAGCAGATCCTTGGCGAGGTCAATGGAGATGAGCCCCGCGCTGCAGCCCATTCCGCCCAGATTGAAGCTCTTCACGTCTTCCCGCATCTTGTAGTGGTTCACGATCATGGAGGCCAGCGACGGGGTCGGGTTGAACAAGCTGCAGTTAACAATGAGGACGCCAACGTCGCGCTCCGGGTCGACGCCCGTCTCCTCGAAGAGGGCGTCGAGGCAGCGGAACATGACGGCCTCCGCCTCCATCCGGGCCTCCGCCATGCACAGCCGAGGGGGCCGCGCCTGCACCCCCGGCGGCAGGTACGTCTCGTCCCCCAGCCCTGATCGCATCGTGATATTGGTCTGGAAATCGAGCGATTCCCCGGTGAAAATGTGGGTGCACTCGGTCATCTCCAAGAACCTCCCCTTGGAGATCTTGTGCTCGTCCTCGGGCCTGTAGCAAGCGAAGTCCACGAGGTAGACGGGGCGCGGCCGCCTCAGGTAGTAGGCGCCGAACAGAACCATCAGGACGGCGACGGAGGCAAGGCCGGTGGCGGGGTCCAAGGAGAGAAGCCGATCGAGCCGTAGCGTGGCGGCAACGGTCGCAAGAATGAGGGGGGCCAGGAGGTAGGCGGTGGGGACGGCGGCGTAGTGGAGGCCAAGCTTGACGTACTTGAGTTTGACGGACTGGAGGAAGTCGGGCAGGCGACGGCGGATCTTGATGACAATGGAGGAGCCCCCGAAGGCCATTTCGGCGGTCAGGCACTCGCGGCCCATCACAGCGGGCTCCGCCGTCGCTGCCTCCATCCTAATCCACTAGACAGGGATGGTGGCACCATCGACGGCCAGTGAAGGAAGATATATAAATGGTAAGAAATCAATGCAGTAGGAAAAGACGAAGAAGGACGGAGAGTAAATGTGTGTGCGCGCCGACGGCAGCGACGGTAGCAGCAGTCGTGGATGGGACAACGGCAGCTGGAGAGAAGACTGGGAACGCGATGGGTGAAGCAGGTGGCCGATATTAATTGGAGATCGCTCAACAACCAGGCAGGGTGGCGGGCGGAAGCTGCGTTGACGCGTTCCGTCTCCGCCATGATTAATGACGGACGCTCCGTCCTCCCGAGCTTGACTTGACCAGAAAGAAATACAAACATTTTGACATATTTATCCTTCAACAGTTTCCAAATAACATATTTGTCACACGTACGCTTTTCCCATTGATTCATATCAGCGTCTTCCTCTGCTCTCCAGGCGCTGTTCATCCTCTCGATGAACTCCTCTGCCCTCTTATGCAGCTCAGTATCTTCACTATTGGAGACTTGTATCTAAGTGAAGGGTCAACTCTGCTCTGGAAGAGAACATCGCATGAAGAAATTACAGCGACAATAAGGCGATTGCTGACAGACATGCATAAGAACAATTTTGATAACAATATAATACAAGGTAAGCATGTAAAGCATAGATCCCTTCAAATTTTAAGACTTCTGGTTCGCGACATAAGTTATAGAAATTGATTGCAGCTTTTAAGCCAATTAACTGTACATAAAAAAGCACAGATGTTTGCAGAGCTTGTTTGTGCCTCAAAAGGAACAACAATTTCACGATTAATTTGTACAGAAATTTATAGAAAACGCACGAAATGCCATGATAATTACTTATCTTCATCGAGGACGTGGATGCTGCTCCTCCGTGCAAGCTGCAAGTCAAGCAAACCTTATGGATAATGATGTTTTGCAGTGCCAGTAAAGGAGTCATTTGCCATCAGAAGCAAGCATCATCTACTTCAGGCTCAAAGCTGCAATCTGATGTCCAGCATTAACTAGAGTGAACTCAATCTATCCGTTTGAAAAGATCTCTACAAGCATAAGCTACTGATCACTTCTTCCTCTGTAGAACAACCTGCCAAAACCACGCCCATGCTTATTGGGCGAAACATTAGGAAAGGAACTAGAAGAGGATGACCGAGAATACCTATGCTTTCGGTGCTTTGAGTTGACAGGCGATCTTGTAAGATGACCTGCTTCTATGTCAGATGGGCAAACCTGGGAGACGAATCTATCCAAGGGAGACTCACCTCCATGTGTTGGTGTTATAAAAGCAGCAGAACTTTCCACCTCTGACATGGAGTGCCTTGATTTATGCATGGCTCGAATGTTAAATCCACTAGGGCCAGGTTTACCTTCAAAATGGTCATCAGTCATGAGATTTCTATTCTTTGGGGAAGAATCCGATCGTTCTGCCAGTGGGCGCAATGCTTGCAATTGCCTTCCGAGCATAAGTATGGTCTCTTGACACTCTGCAAGCTTTTCAGCTGCAGCTTCTATCTCTTTCTCCTATTATAGGACATATTGATGATTTAAAAGTTAAACTAGAAGCTACACATCATCTGAGTCTATATATGACTTGGTTCATGCAAATTTCAGTCCTTTCATGAGTTTTAAAGGTTCCATATTCATAAACTTAAGAACAACTAAACGACAGATTGAATTGCGATAGAACCTTTGGAAGCCATAAAATCAGCAATTTATGATGCATGCCTATCATCTAGGTCAAAATAATGGATTGTGAAAATAATATCACATAATTCCAATTAAAATTGATATTACAGAGTCAAACACATTATCATCATAACTGACATTCTTGCTTAACTGAAGACAATGGGTCAAGTATCACAAACATTACAACTTCATCTTGAAAACCTTACACGATATAGATTGCTACAAGGGGTTAATCTCGAGTAGACCAAGATCAAGGTTATAATGTTAATAACAACATCCCAACACTGATCCATATCAAGTGACACTGGTAGACCACAGCAAGCTCATGAACAAGTGAGGATGCTTGCTTTGGTCGTTAGCTGTAATGGGATGTTAGATCTGATCTAGTTCTTTTTCCTTGCAATTAGCAAGCACAATGTGGGTGTTAGGCTACTTTAAAAACAACCTAGAACTGAGGGTTCCATCTTGTAAAGCAACTTAAGAGAAGCCAGAAATGGGCCTGGGAAGGTCTTCCTCCGATGGCTAAGTCAAGGTGTGATCAACCCCTGAATATAGGTGAGTAAATGCGAGAGTCAATGAGGAATAATGATGGTGTTAGTCACTAGCCATCTATAGAGACATCCAGGTGAAAACTCTTAAATGCTATAAGGTTGACCCACTAATAGACAAAATCTACCATCATTAATGGTTGACTAAAATAGCATGATAATTTCTTGGAGTTGCCACTGAGGTGGGCATTAAATGCCTATCATGTGTTGGCTTATGATTAGTTGACAAGAAGCCTCGAGGGACCCCTCCACAAGTGATAAAAAACCGGATTGAAAGTGTCTCGACTAGACACACTTGGAATGTCAATTGGTCCAGCAGTATGCTTGATACAATGTAAACAAGCTGGTAAAGGCTGCTCCTAGTACTGAATTGCTGATGGATGGTTACACCATTCCTTACCGACAACCACCTTGCTCCCGTTTGCTGGGTGACGGTGCAGACCAATATGGACATAGGGCTATCCCAACGTTTTTAAAAATATTAGGCACAAGGTCCCAAAACTCCCGAGGCGCTCTCCCAGACACCTACCCAAGCAAAGTAAGAGGCTCCCGAATATTATAATTAAAATAATATACAGCTAAATAGAAATATGCTAAATATGTTTATGGAGACCTATGTTAGAATTAAACTGCTCCAAAAGCATCTTATTAATCAAGCATGTTTTGCCGCTCTAAGACATCATCAAGTAAAAGCTAGGAGAGTTTTACGTATAAATCAAAAGTGCATATTGCTGATGGTGTTGTAAATATAATAAATATATTTAAACTGCTCCAAACAAGTTTTTGCTTGTCTATTCACGGTTTAATTAACAGGAAGGTAAGGGAAGAAGAGGACGATGAATGAAACTGTAGCTACGAACGAACAAAGCTACAATGGAGGACGAAGGTAGTAGATGACATTATTGATGACAGTGGACAGAGCTGCAGCGTTGGACGGAAAGTGCAAAGGTGGCAAGTGAAGGTGATGGAAGAGGTTGTCGGCAACGACAAACAGAGTTATAACGAATGTTAGGGTTTAGACGAGATGTAGTGGCAAACGAGCTACAGAGACGAGTGTGTTGTAGTGACGACAACCGAGCTGCAACAGCAAACGAGTTTGGATGAGGCTGTCGATGATAGTGAGTAGAGCGAACAAAGGCAACGGATGTAGGGTTTTATTTCACCTTTGTTTTCTTTTACTGGGTCGGGCAAGGGAGAGGGTTGGCCATTGTTAGGATAATTATGTTAGTTGGTTCGATCGAACCAACTTATAAGTCCAATCAAACCAAAGTTTGAACCCAACCAAATTTGGTTCGGGCACTCGCTCGTGGCGCCAGGCGCCTGGGCTTAGGCAAGCACTCAAGTAGCACTTCATTGAAGCGTTATGTATGGGTTTCTGCAAGGCACTCGAGCCTCGCCTAAGCACCCGAGCGCCTTTTGAAAATACTGAACTATCCTTTGTTAAATGCAATTGCCTTTTCTTGAGTCAATATAGCACAAACATTAGTCTGGGCTTAGCAAAGTTGTTTGCACAATAAAATAGTTTGGCAAAGTTTTTGAAACTATGACAACTACCATAGAAATTTCTGTAACCTTTAACTTTGTGTTCCAAGAGACCATTATAAGTGGCTTATGAGAACCACCTTAAGAGGTTTTCAATAAGGTCAAATGTTCAAGTCATCCTTCCAACTAAATAATATCAAGAAGAAAAATGGAATGTACATGGCTCAGCAAAATGTCTACACGATGAACTCAAGCATTGGTCATTACCTGTTTTTTGTTGGTACCAGTGTAAGCATCTGAGCACATGCAACATTTATCATACCTTCATTTTAGCAAAAAAAAAACAAGAAGATGACATCAGATAATGTACCAAATATATGAATGACACCAACAAACTAAAAGCCAACTTCAACAGGACCAGATTTATCTGGATTAAAAGATTTAGCAATTCAAAGTATATGTAATCATTAGCTAACCTGTCTATCTTCTCTTGAAGATCTCTTAATTTGGCCAAATCATCCTCGTGAAACTGCCTCTCTTCCTGAAGCTTGTTGCTTAATGTCTGTACTTCTGAATGTAGGACATTTACTTCAGTTTCTAATTCCCGCGCACGTGACTCCAGCAAATTGTAAGACTCAGCCATACACTTCAATTGTGTTTCAGACAAGCTATTTAATTTTTTACTAGCGGCCAATTGAGATCTAAGCTCTGTCATGTTCTGTTCATTTTCAACCAGCTGAAGTTTCATCTCTTCCAGTAATTTGGTACAAGTTGACAGTTCCACTTGCATGTTTTCTTTTTCCAGCTTCATCTGTTCAAATTCCTTCAAGGAGAATTTCTGCATTGTTGTTCTTTGTTCATTGATATCACTGATAGGCCCATCAATCTCTACATGAGATGAAGAAGACCTCCCTGAGAAATTTTCATTTCTTGGTTCATGCTGAGCTACTCTGTTCTCGAGTAATGTTGCTTTGTCTATGCAATCTGAAATACTACTTTTCCATTCATTATTCATATCCAATGACATCCTAAAGCCTACCTTATTGGCTTCAGACAGAATATGGGATAAAATGAGTATAGCATCATTCAAGCATTTTTCATCATGTTGAACATCCTTAACACAGGAAGAGAACTGCTGGATTTTCTCACTTAGTCCTTGAGTATCAAATGGATGATCTTGTGTAACAATAGCTTCTTTCCCAAGATATGTAACAAAATCTTGAATCTCAGTTATAACATTGTTTAACTCTTGACCCAAGTCATTCTTACCATCAGCAGATGAAACACTGTCATGCATAGAGATAACAATATCGGTGGTCTCATTGATGTCATCATGACGAGGTTTTTCATCACAAGAAGCATCTGTCAAATAATTTCCTTTAATGGCACAGCTTATTGAGTGCTGAGGCAACTCTTCCTGTGTTTCCTTCATGATATGTCTTATATCTTCCAAAACTTTACCAATATCAACTTCTTGATCCTGCAATTTGAAAATAGAAGCTATTCTTGACTGAAGTTTCACCAACAGATGATCATGTTTATTTATTACAAGTCCATAATGGTTTTGATTGGTACAAGGCAGAATTTCTGGCTTCTCTGATGCCATCACTTGTACTTCACTAGTATCGTCCTTCTGAACATCACCTAGTAAAGTAGCACTGGTATTTTCAGTTTTCATCTTATCAAGCACACCATCAGATATGGTGGTTGCTCCATTGGACTCTGTTGACAAACAAGCTAATCTTTCCATCTCTAGAAAGTCATCCATAAGTTCCAAATGATTTGAATTGTCTATATTCTTGTACTTCACAGTATCTTTTTCTTTCTGAAACTGTGAGAGCTCTGACATTAACGTTGTAGCCCAAGGTACCGAATAGTTTCCTTCCTCATCAATTCCATCTTCAGACATGGAGGTCAGGCTTGACGGGTTGCTTTCATTTTGGGTTAAGGTGGTATCAGAAGAGACATCAATATTTGGTGTTGATGAGACTTTTTGTTGGTTCAGAGCTAGCATCTGTGCTTCAACACTACAAAGCTTGCTTGCTGTTTTAGCACACATATCTCTTGAAGCCTGTAACTCACTGTTACGCTTTGACAGAGCCTCTCTTAACATCTTTGTTTCTTCCTCAATGGTTAATAAATGTGTGGTAAGAAATTCGTTCTCCTTTTGCAATGTGTGGATGCTTTCTGAAGCAAAATCACAAGTAGGAGTTGATTTGTGATGTGGACTAGGATTCTTTGCAGGTGAGTGCCTCATTCTAGTCTCCTTATGGTCACGGCCTAAATTTTCAACTTCTAGTTTCATTTGTGCCAGTGCAGCAGGCCCAGGCAGCTTTTTCCTAACAAGACCACGTAATCTTTGGCATTCTGCCTCCAACTTTGATATTTTCTTAACATCCTCCAAGTGCTGCTTATTTGCTGCATCAGCAGATTTTGTGCTCATATTTTTCTCTTCATTCCGAATTTCAAGCTCCTTAGAAGTGACATGTAACTCATATTTCAATGAATTAATTTCTTTTTTGCATGAGTCTATATTGGTCTTTAGCACTTCAATTTCAGTATCAGCTTGCATCTTCTCATCACTAACTTGCATTAGAATATCTGAACGCTCTTGAATAGACCTTGAAAGTGCTGCATTTTCAGCAGAAGCCTTGAGCAGTTCCTCCTCGAAAGCATCTAGTTTTGCTTCTAGTTCTGCTTTGATTTTTTCCCATTGCTTAGTTTTGGCAAAGATCACATCATGTAATTTTTGCTCGCTTTCTTCCTTCACATTCCTTGTCTGCTTCATGCACTCCTTCAGGGCACTATCAAGATGAGATGCACGTTCTTCAGCTGTAAGCTTCAACAGTGTGACAGATTCAAGTTGATGTTTTAGTGCGGATGATTCAGCTTCAGCTTTTTCCCAACCTAAAATAATTAAGAAAAGAATAATAACTCATTATCACCAACGCTCAAAATTAGAAATTTGCAAAAAACGAGGTGATCTATAGTCATCATCTCTCAAAACTCCTAAGCAAAATACTGAGTTCATCATCAGTGTTCTAAGATGCTGCTGTGTTATGCAAGAATCAGGTCACTGCATTGAGAATGTACAGGATGTGGCTACATATAAAAACTTTGGTCATGAATGCATCTCATATTTATGTATCATAAGGAGCAAGCTTCAAAAATTAGGCAACAAAGTAGAAGTATATGGTCAAGTTTATATATAGATAATTCTTGCTAAATTAGAAGCTTACCATGCAATGCATAAGATGGAATTACATTCATTCCAATGTTCAATGGATGAGAAGTAAAAACGTAACATGAATGTGAGATGCATGTTACATGGATGATAAGGAGTGTGAAGTAAAAACATAACAAATAGGATGAGAAAAGTGTGGAAGAATAATTTAATATCAAATGTTACATGGATGATAAGAACCTAACATGAATGGCCAAGATCATAAAATAAGGAGAAATAAGGAAAAACATGTGAGATGCATAAAACTGCGTTATTGGGTGCATATGCAACAAAAACACATAATGAAACCATGTAGGTCTTATATAAGAGATCACAGGGCCAATCAACCAAAATGTCTTCTTGTGCAGCCACATGAACCACATTTTAGAATATTAGCATGAAATATATTCAGGTAAAATAATGTAATAGGACATGTTGACACCTGAGACTGCTTCTTCAGCAACTTTAGCATGTTGCTTGACTAGATCATCCTTAGCTGTCATCTCAATTAGTGCTGCAGACAATTTTTCATTTAAAATGTTCACTTGATTTTCCAATTCAGTTAGGTGTGCATATGATTCTGCAGAAATCTGTACATAATTAACAGTGTAGTTACCATCCTGCAAAGACAGCAAGTTGCCTCAAGTGAGTGACTATGTGAACCATATCAAGAGAATAGTAAACTGGGAATCTAACAGATACCTTATCTCACTATATGCAGGAAGATAAGATAAGAAATAATAACTACAGAATTATGCAGTTCAGTCAAAATGAAATCTTACCATTAGATAATTGGCATTCGGCTTCAAATAAAGATAAAAAAATGTTAAAGTAGACATGGCAGTACGCATAATTGTCATCTGCTAGCACAGACAGTATATCTTATTGTCATTGCATAACAATTGAATTTGCTAGGTAACTCATGAACTCTGCTAGCAATCCAAAGCTTCAAATAATGTACTAATTCATGACCTCAATGACTGCTTTGAGTATAAAGTTGTTATTTCAGATATCTGTAGCATAAGCACTTTCATGTACTATATCTGACAAGCTTGATATCATGGAAAAAGGTATCAAGATATACATATATCTTTCATGTCCTTTGCAGTTAAGCAGATAAAGCACGGTAATGAATATCTCATGAAAGGAAATTTATAAAGGCCCCAAAACATATATCAGTATATGTATATGTATATGTATATGTATGTATGCACACATACAATATATATATATATATATATATATATATATATATATATATATATATATATATATATATATATTAAAGATCAGGCTTAAAAATAAATAAAAATATCTTGTAGTGATAGTGCTAGATAATAGTATTATATTTCATATCAGTTTATTGCATTTTGTTTAAAAGGTTTCAGTAATTAAAAGCCTGATAGGAGTAGAAGTTTGAGAGGCGCCTCAAGCTATGTATCAAATGATGTTTCGAAAATGATCATGTTGAACTTAAGATCAAGTATATTTTTGAATTTTCGAGAATGATATTCACTATTCAGAGTGTGTAATGCTCATGAGGGCATCATATATGTACGGATATTTAGAATTTAAGCGGAAACCAATTCATAACCTGTTTGGCATAGTGAAAGGAATATAAACCAATTTACAAAAAGCTTCAATATTTCGCAAATCATTTGTTCCCATAAATTAAATCATCATATGCAATTTTTGAAAGAAGCAACAAAATAATGAAACTAGAAACATTGTTCCTTGGATTTCATGGACCCATGCATTTCACAAATTAGTCTCATAGTCATTAGCCAACATGGACTTAGGTCAGCTTATTCTTTCGGCAGTCTTAAAGTTGTGAAATTAGTTGGAATTCCAAGAGGTACCCTTTAAAGGAGTCATGGTTTATGTTCTTTCAAAGTCAAAGATCAATTTGCAAAATGAATCTGAAAATTATATAACATCACTGAATGTTAGTACAATCAACCTGCATGAAACCTGCTTATCAAACTCATATCTTTGATGTCAATCTATAGACGATGTCCAAAATATGTTTACTATCGATGATATATAGATATTATTTTCAATTTTGCACCAAATAGGTGCAAGCAAGAACAAACCTGATCGACTTGATTTCCACCAGTGTTGGACAAAGTTGAATGAGAGGAATCAATTGCAGTCATAACCTTCTCAGATGACTTCTTTTTCCAAGGCCAACTTCGCCGATCCATCCCCAAATAAATAGACTACAATCTATGCCATTCATTCATGCTTCAATCTGTAAAATACAAGAAAAATGAAAATTCAAACTAACAAGTTAAAAATGAAAATTAAAAAGAAAAGTGCATTCGAAAATGAACTTGTGATGACAGAAAATTTGCAAGTTATTTAAGGAAGATAAAAAAAAAACCAAATTATATTATCAAGAGAAAGAACAGAATCACTTGAGATTTTCCTTTGAGGAGGAGGTATTTCAACATATGTAGTTTACAGCCACCAGCGGGCAGGAACAGGAACTATCAACAGAACCTTGGCTACAATATTTTAGCTTTGAAAACGTATACTCCCCATTCTTAACAACTCCAATCTTCTTTGGGTTCGCATCCTAACTGCCAAGTATGAAAACCTCCACCCCTGGACTGATTCCCCTAAATCCAATCTCTCTCGATCCAGGATCAATATCAATCATCTAATCAAAGATATCAAAACTGGGTTTCAAAAACTAATAGCTGATGGCAACAATACCAACATTCGGACAGACCCTTCAGTTGAGAACCTACCCATCAGACACTGGCCTACCCTAATTTACATTGATGTGATATCTACTTTCTGCATTGTTTCTGAACTGTTGGACTCTAATTGCTGGAATCTGACCAAACTTGAGCTTCTATTCCACCCTTCTCTAGTTGACCGAATTCTGAGGATTCATATTGCTAAGCTCCCTCATTACGATTCTTGGATTTGAGTCATATGACAACCCAATCCTTAAGGCTCTCTCTCTACTAGTGATGCCTATCAATTTCTAAAGTTTGACACTAAGGATAAGGGATGGCATGGCTAGAAGGTGATATGGAACCTTTCTATTTCTCCAAAGATCAAACTATTTCTTTGGAAGCTTTGTTGGAAAAGATTGCTTACCTCTAATCTCTTTGCTCACATCCTACACCACCAGATTGAGCACTGTGCAATGTGTCAACTCTATGAGGATTCTCCAGCTCACATATTTCTTGAATGTTCTTCATCCATCTTCTTTTGGAACTTGCTTCAATCCAAAATAGGAATCAGATTCAAACACTTTCATTCTTGGTCTGCTGGCTCTTGGCTGTTGGGGCTGTTGGAAGGTGAAGGCTATGAGAAATCTGCTTCTAATTAGATTCTTAGCCTTATTTCACTCTTTTTGGACTCTTTGGCTTAATAGAAATGATTCCAAATTCCACAACCGTCATGCTAATCCCTCTACCTTAGTTATCAAGGCTCTAGCCCTCATGACTGAAACTAATCAAGCATATCCATCACCTGAGGGGACTAGTAATATAATTCCTCAGTTTACTACTTCTAGATAAAGGTTTTTTTATTGTTTTTTGCAATGTGATGCCTCTTTTGTTTCTTCTGACCTTCCTGCATGTATAGGCTTCATCTTCACCTCCATGGACAACACTACTCTAGCTGTTGGTTGCCAACCTTGCAATGCCCACAATGCTGCAATGACAGAGGCGCTTGCAATCCTTGAGGCTCTCAAGTATGCTGCATCCATGGGTTGGGAAAACATTCTTCTCCAATCGGATGCCCAACCCATCATCAACTACATTCATGGCTCCCAGCAAGTTCCTTGGCAACTCCAGGCTATCATCTCTGATGTAAAGCTCCTATTGAGCCAACTTACTTTCTTCTCTGCTGGCTTTATTCCAAGATCTCTCAACTGCAAAGCTCACCAGCTTGCATCTATTGGTAGAACCAACAGGTTCCCCTCTTTTTGTACACTGGATGATTTGAGTTGTTCATCGAGTCCCCTAACTATGTTTTTCTAATTTAATGAAATTTATTTTACTTCAAAAAAAAAAGTAATAGAGTTCTATCAAGAGGTTGTATAGGGTTTGACATAAATGGAAATAAAATGTAATTGTAATCTGCTTGTAATGCAATCACTTTTGTGTCACCTAGTGCACAAATGATGAATTTTTCATTTCACATTCATTGTTGAAGCCATTCTGCATAAGGATTTTTGTTACGTACAAACTGATCTGTATTCTGCAACATGTTCATTTCCTATATGATGTTTAGTTTGAGTCAGCTTCCACAAAATTCATCCACAATCACTCTTCCTCTTCACCCCTCTCAATATCCGAAATCTCACAATCTTCATCAGAGGTGACAAAGGCATCATGTTAATAATTTTAGCTGATCACCAGTGAGACATCATTAAGAGAGGAAAATTTCAATTAAAAAATATCAAATAGAAGAAGAGATATCTTATTGCCACTACTATCTGCAGAATATTCCTTTTCTAAGCTCTCCCCATGATAAAGCTACTTTTGTATATCATCCAGTAATCCCTGCACTTTGTATCATGTCTTTTTAGCTACTATGGTGCATGCCCCATTTTTTGTTCTCATCTCCCTGAAACTGTGATAGGAGGTGTAGTTAAGTAGGCTCAGCTTGAATCTCTACCATACCTAAATCTTGTAAGTGGGTACAAGATATCTAGGTAATGAAAGCTCCAGTTAATAATTCTCAAAGTTACATGAAAGGAGTTCATCTAGTGAGCAGATGAAAAGTAAGCAACGTTTTACCATAGCCTAAATGAAAAGAGTGGAGAGGAATCAAAACTATAAATGCGAACGTTAGATGGTTAAGGACACATGCAGTGATTCTCGGTACTGACCTTTGCAGGAATAAAGTTTGTGAATGTCCTAATGCTGCGAGAGCAGTGGCACTGTTCACTGGAGAGGAAAAAGTAAATTAGACAAGTATTTATTACTCTGTTTGGGCATTTATTTCGATCAGATATGCATGCGAAAAAGATACTTGAAAAAAAAAAAGCATGGAAGAGAAACCGTAATAGAAATTGTGCTGCTAGAACAGCTTGAACAGATTTTGCTACATATGATGTTAGTCTGGCCTGAAGCAAGGATGCTTCAAAAGGAATGGTTTGGGCTGCTTGATTTTCGTGCTAGTTTTAATCTCCATAACGAGAAAAACATTGTTTGAGAATCCACTACAAATCACATAAAAAAACTCAATGGTTTTAATCAATCAAGTAGAGAGGAGAAAAGAGCAAACATTTGAGAAAAAGAAGTGAGGAGCATTCTTTTCTCAATGCCATCGCGAATCTGTAAAACGAAAACCTAGAAAAGCACAATTCGATCGATACCATCCGAGTTTATGAGATAAAACCAAGCAATATAAATCTTGGAGAAGGAGAAAAGGGCAGCTAAAAACCCAAAATCTGAATGGCAGAGACAGAGCAGACATGGATAAGGCTTTGATGGACAAAATGTGGGTCACGCGGTGCGAGTTCTTGGATGAGATCCAACGAACCGTATGGTTATGGACCAAAGATGTGCAAGAGAGGAGATTGTTCTTGGTGTGTGTTGATCCTTGTGCTTGTGTCTTCGACACACGAACAAGTTTGGTGGAGACGGTAAAAAAAGAACGAGGGGAGGAGTAGGAGGCGATCGAGGTAGTTACTGTCGTCTTCTCTGCGGTGCCACCCCCTCTCCCTCTCTCTCTCTCTCTTTCCCTCCGCTGCGCTGTACTTCTGGCTGACACTCGTGCTGATCAAAGGAGCAGAGACGCGAAGAAAGAGATGGGAGGGAGCAAAGAAAATGCAGGGGAAAGAGTGACCGAGAGAGCGCAAAGTGGGTAGAAGATGGTGCCGTCAGGGCTGCTCGCTTAAAAAGCACAACGTTGTCGTCGCAAGCGCACCCCGGAGATGCCGCATCACTGCCCATTTCTACACCATCCTCATTCTCAGTGGGTCCCATAAAACACTCGGTATCCCATCAAATTGACGAACGGGTAAGTGAGAGGAACGATGGTCTCGAGTGCCGAATAAGTCAATGCATTAAGGCGGGCTATCATATACCTACGTAGACATATATTTTCGCTCCCAAATTTCTTCACCACGCGCCCGTTGTGTCCGTCATGCTGCCCCCCAAAAAATGCGCTCTGTGTCTGGTGCCGGGCGTCGATACTTGAAAAGTAGAGTGTGTATATCATCCCTATATTAAACGCTTCTTATCAGTATGACCGGTTTTTATAATAAGAAAACATCCCTTCGAAACACCAATTACTCCGCCGCATAATAGAAATAAGTATTAATAATAAAGACAAAAAAAATCATCAGCTACAGAGTGGACGATGGTGATCGAACGGGAAGCCACCGACGGATGAGTTGGTCGCCACGCCAAGTCTTTCTATTCTGTTTTCATCCTATTTCTCACGTACGGCTTCGGAATCGAACGATGAGTCGCCTATCGTCTGATCCGCGTGCGACGGTGATCTGAGGGTGGAGCACTGTGGGGGACAGGTGGCCCACGAGGTCCACCCGCGGTCTCTCTCGGGCGGCGACAGATCGACACGAGGCCGACTTCGGGTCCTGACCCACGTGGAGTCTGAGAGCGCGTCTTTGTTGCCATCGAAAGCGAAGCCGATCGTCCGATCCACATCGGACGGCTCTCCTCGTCGCCAAACAGGTGGGCCCGGACGCGTGCTTAGACCTTGTTGTCATGTTGCGTCCGCGCTAGACCGCGTTGTGGTGGCGCCCGTGACTTGCGTTCCGTAGCCGCGTGCGGCCCGCTTCCCGCGGGTGGTGGGCGTGAAACAATATCGCACCAACCGTGGTTTTTTATCGACGGGCTGATGGCCTGCATGAAGCGTTGCCTTTGTCTGGGGAGGTTTTGTAGATGGAAACGGAGTCCAGGGGACCCACTCGCCGCACGAATCATCCACTCCCATGTGAGACCGTCGGCCACGTACGAAGCATCGGCTCGTGACCTTGATGGACGACTGCGTGGAGCTCCAGCGCACGAGCGTATCCGGACTCGTTCGCATCATGGGCTCGTGTTCCATCAGCCACCGGGGCAAGCCGAGATTTGATTGGCGTCCTTAAGATTCGTGCCAAGCGTGTCGTTTATATAACATGTAAATATCATTTGGTGTGATCATAAAAATCCTAATGCACCAGCAAATTTACATATCAATTGGTAGACAGATGGATTCTAAAAATAGATTCCAAGAGAAGCCACCTAACTATTACCTAAAAAAACGAAGGTAAATCCTTTATTGCGTGAGTTCTTAATTTGTAGGTGTTGTAATATTAAATTAAAATTTATCATTAGATAGGATATTGGTCTAATAGTTTTAGTAAAGATTGTAAGTTATTTTCTTACTTGAAATTGAAGTTTTAGTTTGACCCTTATAAAACAAGGAGGTAATATGATTTAATGAGCATCCGAGAAAAGTGGAGAGATTAGGTTGAACAGTACTAATGTTGGTGTAAACAACTTTAAGCCGTGACGTTGGGGTCGACGCGATTTGGTTCGGGTCCGGATGATGGAGGATCTTCTCGGGACGACCCTTGAGATGGCTGAGGTGGCCGATTGCGGTGGTCCAATCGGAACGGGGTCGTCGTTTCCTCCGGGAGGGAACTCCTCGCATGGGCACGCGGTCTTCGTCTCTGCACACAGGCCGGGTCGGGAGGCTCGACTCGACCCTTCCGACGATCAAGTTAGTGAGCAGTCGTGGGAGTTTTTTCCTCTCGTCCTCAATTTCCTCGGAGCACGAGGGTTTTTATAGTGAGGGTTATCGTTGCCTGATGTACCTACCCGTAGGGAGCAGGATTGTACTTCTAGTAGCGTCTGACATGGACGTTGGCGTGGCATGAGAGATCGAGCTTGAGCAAGATGTTAATGTGCCTCGGTTGACATTCCGGTCCGTGTTAACCAGGTGCTATCAGGTTAACGGAGGCACGAGGCGTCATCCGGGGCAGCTGACGTCACCCGAGTCTTATCGTCATTATTATCCTCATCAACTAAGATAAAAAGAAGAAAACGATGGTTTGAGGTATTGTAATTTATGATGATGAATATAATTTTTTGGTTTTGAGCATCGTCGAATCAGTTTTGTGCCGTTTCAAAAAATATTTGGACTTCTATCTCGATTCGATTCGATTTTGTCGTCTTATTACATTATTGTCTTGCGTTACTTCAGTCACTATCTTTATATTTTTGTTGGAGCTAAACAATGTCTTCTTTCCTTTTTGTCTTCTTCTTGTGTAAAAACGAAGAAGACGTAAGGGGAGTGCCCAATGGGATGGAGGTCTGATCGGGTGTTTGACAGTAAGCGATGATCGATAAAAATAAAATAATTATTTTTAAAAATATTATATATTTTTTTTAAGTTGAAATATTATTTAAAAAAATTCTCAAAGTTAAATTTTTTTTTGGATAATTGGCCCACAAACTGTTATGTCAAAAAACTGTGAAACTAGCAAAGGTACGATAAAAATATGTCGGTCATAATAGGATTAAAAGCAATAAAATCTGATCTAAAATTATTCATCCGAAATGCTCCATCCATCATTATTTAGTGGGCAAGACCTATTCAACTCCCCCCTTTTTTTTTATCTCATCTCTGAAAGAAAATAATAGCGTGGGAGAAACAAAAACTAGGGCACAAAATTAGAACAGCACAAAATAGCTGCATCTCCCGGTGGGCCCCAATTTTCTCCTTTTTTTAGAATAGTTCACCCTTTGGGTGACGGACGGCGGGGGGCGTCGATTTGGGCTCCAAAAGAGGGGGAAGTTTCTCCGGGCGTGTCGGAACAAGCAGTCGGTGGGAGATCTCGACGTCGTCGTGGGGATGAAGAAGGCCGGGGCCTACGCCGCATCCCTCGCGGCCGCCTCTTCGGCCGCTCTCACCGCCCTCAACAACTCCGATCACGGCGCCTCCAGCTCCCCTTCCTCCGTCAAAGAGGTATTCACGTCCCTGCCTTGCTCTCCACCTTGTCGATAGGGGCAGAAAGGAGAATTACCCGGGTGGATTCTTCAACAGGGATCGGGATCGGGATCGGGATCGTCGATTGATAAGGACGCCACGGGATCGGTGGTGGAAGACAAATTCGCGCCGAGATTCGACGGGCTCAGGTTCATCGAGACGCTGGTGACGGCCCATCGGTGATTCACCGACCTCTTATCGAGCGGTAAGATCCGATCTCTGCAGAGGACTTCTTGATTTCGTCTTTTCGTTGTTGTGATTGGTGGTAGCGTAACATTGCTACAAGTTTTGTTGTTGAGGACTATGTATTCTTCTCGGATAAAGTAATTTTAGCTTAATTTCTTGAATTTTGATTCATCCCTTCCCTCTTTACTAATATTCGAGTTGTTTTTTCTTTTTTCCTTCTATATTATTTATTTACTTATTCATTTACACTTTTGTTGTTATTGTTAATAATAATAATAATAATTTTTTATCGTTGGTCACGACCGCTTATATTATCACTCGTTCATTTTGTTATTATTTTAATCAATATTTATCCTCCATTCATAATCATTTTCGCTACTAAAATAATGATGGACGTTATTAGATATATGTAGGTAACAATTTCTTATCTTCTAAAAGATACTTGTAAAAATACGAAAAAAAGGGACGACTCTTTCAATATAAACACCCATGCAGTATAATGTCCCCCCACCTTCCCACCCACCCAAATATAAGAGAACATATAAATAGGGCTAATGGTATTATAGTTAATTTTTTAAATTTAAATTTTATTGATCCTTGATAGAATCATTTATTCATCGTAAACATTAGCTTGGTAACGATGGACCAGACTTATTTAATAAATGTTGAGGGTTTCAAATCTCATCTAATATATTTTTCAAAATATTATTTAATAATTGATAATAATTTTAACAGTTCTATATTCGTCACTTACCTTTTAAAAATATATATATATATAAAAAACTGGTAAGTCGAAAAAAGGGTTCATATGGCCGCATTTAAACGTATGGCTCAGATCAAGCTAGCGTTCCAATCCCGCCCCTTTTCCCGCCCCGATCACGGGCACCGCGGTGAGCTAAGACGGAGTTTTGTAGTAGCAACGGATCCGCTCCTCAGTATCGGATTTGTCCACTCGCGACTGACTGAACCAATCCCGGACGATTCCTCCTGTCTTCTACTCTCTCTCTCAGACACAGGACAGTCCCCTTGCAATCATGGCTCCTCTCCCTTCTTGTCCAGCCCAGCTGGGAATCACCACCCCCTCCCCCCCTCAATTGCTTTCTTCTGCTCTCATAATTGCGCTACCCTCTATTCTGTTCCGCCGTCACTCCCCAACCTTTCTTCTTTGTGGCTCGAGCTCTACATTGCTGCGCCACCGCCGAAACTCGATGGCCCTGCATCGTTCTAAGCCGCCATTGCTCATTATTCTCCTCCTCCTCATCGCCCTGGTGGTCCCTTCCGCTGCCACATCTGCTGCCCTGGTCGGCGTCAACTACGGACGGGTGGGCGACAACCTGCCCCCGTCCGAGACCGTGCCCCGCCTCCTGGCCTCCATCGGCGTCGGCCGCGTCCGCCTCTACGACGCCGACACCGCCGTCCTCCGCGCGTTCGCCAACACCGGCGTCGAGCTCGTCGTCGGCATGCCCGATCGCTGCCTCCCACCCGTGGCCGCTGACCCGGCCGAGGCTCTTGCCTGGGCCCGCACCCACGTTCAGGCCTTCGTCCCCGCCGTCAAGATCGTGGCAGTCACCGTCGGCAACGAGGTCCTCACCGGCGCCAACGCCTCCGGCCTCGCCCACTGCATCGTCCCGGCCATGGAGAACCTCCACGGCGCCCTCGCGTCCCTCGGCCTCGACCGCGATGTCGCCGTCACCTCGGCCCACTCCCTTGCGGTCCTCGCCACGCCGTCCTATCCGCCCTCCGGCGCGGTCTTCCGCCCGGACCTCCTCCCCTACGTTCGCCCCCTCCTCGCCTTCCACGCCCGCACTGGCTCCCCCTTCTTCGTCAACGCCTACCCCTACTTCGCCTACGTGAGCGATCCATCCGGCGTCGCACTCGAGTACGCCCTCCTCGACCAGGGGTCTGCCGCCTTCACCGACCCGGCCACTGGCCTCCGCTACGGCAACCTGCTCCACGCTCAGGTCGACGCCGTGTACCACGCCATCGCGGCCGCAGCGTCGCCTTCCTCGAAGGGTGGCGGGGTTGAGGTGCGGGTGTCGGAGACGGGGTGGCCGTCCGCGGGCGACGCCAACGAGACGGGGGCGACGCCTGAGAACGCGGCGCGGTACAACGGCAACCTGATGCGGCTGGTGGCGGGGCAGAAGGGGACGCCGCTGGTCCCCGGGACGCCGCTCCGGGCCTACGTCTTCGCCCTCTTCAACGAGAACCAGAAGGCGGGACCGTCCTCCGAGCGCAACTACGGCCTCTTCAAGCCTGACGGCACCCCGGCCTACCAGCTCGTCGGTGTCTCGATGCACCAGGGTAGCAACTCCACCTCCACCTCCACCGATGGTATCGGCGGCAACGGCGACGGCGAGGCCTCGACAACAGGGCCGGACGGGGAGTCCGGGTTCTTCAGCATCTCCGCCGCGTCACCGGTACGTTCCATCTAAATCGTACATTTTGCGCGTATTTTTTAAATTGCAAATTACACTTCATTTAAATTCTAAATACGAAGATACTGGGGACAGGATTGGCAGTGCCGGGCGGCGACATCGGCGGCTATCGCAGGAGCAAGTGTGTTCTTGAAATTACTCTGAGAGATCGACAAGAATCATTGCCTTTGTTTCTTTCAGAGTGCAACCGAGAACAGTCACTGGTTGTCTTGGTGTTTGTGCAGTGTAGATTTTAGATGGAAAGTTGTGATCATTTCTACTGTGCGACTGACTCAGCTTGGCGTCCACTAGTTTGGTTTGCCCTTGATGTCGCCCAAAGGATAAAGCGCTTTAAATTTCGAAAAGAACGAGGGATCACGTGATGCCTCGCAAATCGTGCAATTCGCACGCCCCACCACCCGAGGCCGCCTCTTGCGGTCACGTGCGTGGTTTGAGTGGGCTGTTCGGGCGGGTTGGATCGGTTTCAATTCCCATCGGGTTCGCCCTGTCGCAAACTGCCTAGTCCGAACCTGATCGATGTAAGATTAGATCAGGACGGCTCGATTGGCAGACCCCCTTAATTAATTCTCATCAGTATATAGCACAAGTAGAAACATAAGACCAAATGATATTTCACTTATTTAAGTCTCTACGGACAGCAAACCCGATTGGAAGAGCTGTCGCGAACAGAACCAGTACAGGAATAGAACGATAGCAGCTGTAAAAAAGAAGCTATAAAGACTGCTCTTACACCAGAACGTACACACACACACATATCCTTAGATCTGGCATTATTACGCATAGCATCAACCACTACAAGTAACGACAACGACACATCAGCTATCTGCTCGACGGGGGGGTCTACGGCTTGCTGTGCACTTTGGCCGGTGGGAAGCTCGGCTTGTTGTACTTGGGGTGATCATGGTGGAAATGCGGGATATGTTTCATGTGAGGCAACGTCTTCTTGGGCATCGGATGGTACTTGATCGTGGGGTGCTCGTGGTGAGGCATCGGGGACGGCTTGTAGACCGGCGCAGCAGGTGGGTTATAGTATCCCCCTGACGGCGGCTTGTGCATCGGCGCAGGTGGTTGGTAGTATCCCCCTGACGGCGGACTGTGCACCGGCGCAGGTGGTTGGTAGTATCCCCCCGACGGTGCCTTGTGCACCGGCGCAGGTGGGTTGTAGGTAGGGGGGCTGTAAACTGGGTGTGGGTGGTAGTGAGACTTGGGTGGGAATTTGTAGTGTGGCATATGTAACTTGGGGTGCTTCTTTTTCCATGCCAGCGGAGGGCAGGGGTAGAAGGTGGCCGACGCGCAGGTGGCCGACGAGAACGACAGCTTCCCGGACGCCGCAACGAACGTGTGCTTTCCCTCGTCCTTGGACTTGAGGATCAGCTTGGAAGGGTTGAGGGCGTTGTTCTTGTCAGGGCAAGGTGCGTTGGAGGTGTTGTGGAGCTGCGCGAAGCACTCGTGCTTCAGGTCGCCGTTCTCGAGGAGAAGCTCGCTCGGGAGCTTCACCTCGAAGTTTCCGTTGCTGTCGAGCTCGCCCGTGGCTTTGGTCTCGTACTGCTCGTCGCTCACCTTGCACTTGACGGCTACACGTAGTCCTGCTTGGTCAAAACCACCATGGAAGAACATATCAGATGCATGCCTTACTCGAGCAACTAAGCAGCAATTGTGCTAAGCATCAAGAGTACTACAAGTGAAGAACAAGAGTCGATCGACCTTTGACAGCGTTCTCAGTCTTGATACTCTTCTGCGCACAGTCCAAGCATTCGGTAGCACCGACGACGGAGACCAGCGTCTCAGTCTGCGTTGCAGCGCTTGCGAATCCGACGGCCACAAAGACTGAACACAAACCGAACAAAACGGTTTTGAGGTGCGGCGGAGTTCCCATGATGGAACTCGACCTCAGCAGGAAAGATAACAACAGGAGGAGGAGGAGGAGAAGAAGAAGAAGGATTGTAACGTGTGATGTTGTTGTGGAATGTCGAGAACCCTACGTGCTTATAAATACTAAGGGACTATAAGGGAAGGCCGACAGTGGTCTTAAAGCTTTCACGGTGGAGCAACAACGAAGCCTCAGTCACCACCGGTTTTGCAGTTTTGTCCATTAAATGCGCCCTGCCCTCATCTCATCTCCATTGCCTATCACTGGTGTGGTGTATCTCCACAAACCTACTTCCTCGTCTCATTAATAACCTGGCCAGATCCCTGTTTTGCACATGAAATCTTACTCGCTACCGGTACAAATCTAACCGAGGGGACGAACCATTCATCGACAACATGGATAACTCTGGCTACTGCCAATGAGAGAAGCAGTATGCCCTGGTGAAGTACAAGAAATTTGCTGGGATTCGTTGTGGGGAAGCGATACTATTCTTAGATCCCAACACGAGACTTACCTTCTGTGGAGGACAACATCCACAGATGAACCAGAACGCTAAGGATTTTTCTTCATCTCAAGATTGTTCTACATATAAGTTTCAACTCTTCTGCGATTCAAGAAACACCCGATTTCGAAAGTTGGTGCAAGCGATAAGTCAATTAAGAGTATGGCAACGGGTTAGGTTAAACATGACGAAGTCAACAACAGCTCATCGATAGAGACTACCTGCGAAACACCTCGCCACAGCACGAAGACTGAAAGTGGCACATTGATATGTGAGTAACTAATCCGCCAAACAAAGTGGGTTTGTATTAAATAACGAGGTCTACGTTTGCACACCGCTGTGGTTAGCATCTAATATTTAGCAATACAAAACTATGATAGCTTATATAGTTAGATTTATGTGGTTAAATCCACAATAACCCAAGAAAAGATGAAACAACACATCCTGTGGTTGTCGAAATTACGATCCAATAACCTTGCCAAGATCGAAAGTGATTATCAAGAAACTTGAGCCATGTCATTCTGAAAGCGATAGATCGCATGCCTCCACCGGTTTCCTCAGGCAACTCAAAGTCCAGCATAAATGATTTCCGGCCGCTTTATCTGCCACAAACTCTTCCTAGATTACGATTCCATCTCGTTTAGATCGATCCGGACATGCTCCAGTGCTTGCAATAATAATCTCATCGTCTTACTTTACATCGGCCTGATTGACGAGATGATGAACAACCATTACTGTCGTAATCTGTACAAGGATTCATGAAGGATAAAAAAGAGAAAATAGGATTATGATAATTAGTATGCGCAGGTGCGAAATTGGACCAGGTGATGGTACAGTAATTAATCTTCCTCATCCCATAGCAAAAATAGGACCAGGTGATGGTAATGCAATGCTGGATTTGCCCGTATCCAAGATTGGACCATGTAAATGATGCAGTAATTAAGCTTTCACCTAACAGCAAAATAAAGGAGGAAGCAATTGAATGCTGGATTTCCAAGATCAAGATCACAAGAAGGCTTACTTCCTACGTTGGCTTGTCCATTGCCTGGTAAGGATTTCCACTTTGAACTGTTGAAGGTGGAGCACACCATACGATTCCTCATAAAAAATCTGTACTAGGAGTTAATCTTACGTTATGGTCGTAAAGAGGATTTTACTGTATATTATCTTTATCAACTTTATGGGGTGGCTTGGCCAAGCATTGAGTTGGAATTTTTGGGTGGTCCATCTTCGTGCTGTGACCGATCTCATCCACCGCTCGTGAAATGGAATGCTCTGTGCAAGTGGGATACGTCTCTCCGAGTAGTCTCAGCTGTTAGATAAGCTTTGATCGATTTCTGAGTTGTAATCGACCTTTTTCTTTGTGAAGTGTTTTAGGGGAATGGCCCACTTTTTTCACCTTAAAAGATAGTTTGATCTTATTTAGATTTACATCTGACTAATAACTTGTTTGTCTTTCTATGAATCATCCAAATAGTATTTGACTATGATTTAAATAGTTCGGGTAGACGTGGATGGAAAAACCTGACTGCCATCGCTGACAAGTTTATCTCCATGACTTGAAATTGAATGGAGGAATAAAATATACTGGGCAATCTCGGGTTGATTTGGTCCTCTTTCACTGCATGTTGAACATGTTCTTCGATATATTACGCTTAAGCATTTAGGATTCATGATCATAATACATTATGAATTATATAGTGGCAGTCGATGATTTTATATTATATATAATATTTTTTGGGGTAATTACATATTACTCTCTATAGTTAATTATGATTAGCATCTCGGTCTTTATACTTTAAAAAATAATATTAAGATATTTACATTACGAAAGTGAAATATTTAATCCCAATTCACCTTATGTCATTAACTTTATTAACGGAAAAAATCATATTATCATGTGCAAAAAAATCACAAATAGAAAAAAAATATAAATATATTATTTTTTATTATTAATTTTATTTTTTTTAATTATCTCTTCTTCTCTCTTTCCAAATTGCTTGCTCATAGCCTACTGTACTTTCTCGCTTGCTCGTTGTACTTACACACTCATCTCTTGCCTACTGCACCTACTCGCTCGTCGCACTCGCTCACCAGCGCACCTGCTCACTCGCCTCTCACCCACCGCACTTGCTCACCCACCACACCTGCTCACTCATCACTCGTCACTTGTCGTACCCACTGCACTCGCTCACCCGTTGCTCACTTGCTACACCAACTCGCCTGCCCACAATGGTGAGTGAGCTAGTGCGATGAGTGAGCAAGTGCGACGAGCAAGCAGGAAGGCGTGGCAAACTACAAGTGAGCAAGAAGGTGCTACAAACTCTAGGCGAGTAGTTCGGAAAGATAAAAAAAATTATATTTTTATCCTTTCCATTTGTAATTTTTTTATACACGATAACACATGCGATTTTTTCCGTCGACGAGAATTAGGGTTAAATATTTTATCTTAAAGGCTCCAAAATTATTTTTTAAAATATAAAAATTAAAATATTAATTATAATTAACTATATGGGGGTAATATGTAATTACTCTTATATCTTCAACTTACCAAAAAAAAAATTAGAAAAGGAAAAAGATGATAATGGTGATGACTTGAGGAGAGGGAAGCCGACAATATCCACTCTTACATGCATGCCAGTCTTCTCACTCACCAATTATTGCCTGCACATCTCTCTCTCCTCCATATCAACGCTTATACAACACCACCGCGACAACAAGTAAGAAAGCTAGTTGGAGGATGGGAGCAATGGTGAGGTCTCCATGCTGTGAGAAGGCCCACATCAAAAGAGGAGCGTGGACTAGGGAGGAAGACCACCTCCTCATAGCCTACATCCGTGCCCATGGAGAGGGGTGCTGGCGCTCGCTCCCTATGGCGGCCGGCCTTCTCCGGTGCGGCAAGAGTTGTCGCCTGCGTTGGAACAATTACCTACGGCCCGGTCTCAGGCGCGGCATCTTCACCATGAAAGAGGATGAGCTCATCATCAAGCTCCATAGCCGTCTCAGTAACAGGCAAGCCGTCGCAGCGTCTGTGATCATAATCATAAGATCGGAACAGTGTTCATGACGACTGACTCCATTGAATTGTGGCAGATGGTCGCTCATAGCTGCAAGGTTGCCAGGAAGAACGGACAATGAGATAAAGAACCACTGGAACACGCACGTCAGGAGGAAATTGTTGAGTCGAGGGACAGACCCAGCAACGCACCGTCGACTGATCCATGAGGAGAAAGATACAGGGCGGCTTCTTCCATATAAGCAAGAGAAGATTAGCAGCAGCAGCAGCAGCAGCAGCAACCGGGAGGGGTTATGGAACATACAGGACTATAGGTGTCCATACCTGAATCTAGACTTGTGTTTAAGCCCTCCATCACAGAAGCCATGAGATGAAATGAATTGCTAATTGTTTCTCTTTTCCTTAATAGTATTTCGATATTACAATTGGATTTCTTTTTTCTTTTCCTTTTTGCACAGGCCAGAGTGGTCATATTATAATTTCCTTGTCAAACATTGGAGTACTTTCTGCATGTTATATGTCCTTTGTGTTCTTTATATGGATATTCCATGTTTCATATGTCTGCCTGCACAAAGTGGATCACTACCCACGTATCACCAAAAGACCTATTGGAAGGAGAACAGAGGAGTGATGACAGAGGTGGAAATGCTCATTAGAAGAAATCCAAAGCCTTAATTTTCTAATTGTTCCGTAAGCATCTGAGTCACATTTCTGACATTGCTGGTAGATCGTTGTTTTCTTACAGCATGATGATATATAGTTCTTCGGAAGATTAAAGCTGACAAGTCCAACACAATTTGTTCTGCTCATAAGCACCAATGTTTGATTAGAAAATGACCGACAGCGGCTTCTAATACGATGAGCCAATGGAGCCGACTGCAGTTTCTTTCATGAGTGATTCTTCAAGCTTGCCATTCATTATGTTGAGATTTCACACATCATTCAGACAGAGGAAACTATTGGCATTGTTTGGCAGCAGAGTCTATTAGCTATTAGTCCATTTGACACCTCATTCAAACCGAGGAATCCTTGGCATTGTTTGATAACATGGTGATGACAGGTCAAATTTAAGAACATAATATGGCAACCATTAAGTGAAGATGCTGAGATTTGACCACCCTCCTGCAGAAATTAGTGACATGAACGCAGCGATATCACGGAGACAACATGCAGCTGCATCGATCGAATGAGACTGACCAAGGAAAGAAAACAGAGGAAAGCAAAAGAGGAAGAGATTTGCAGGGAGCAGTTTTGGATTTGGTTGTCAGAAATGATCGAGACAAAGGCAAGTTAATCTTTTGAACAGAGAGTATGCCCCATTAAGAATGTTGTCAATGAAATTGACCCCAGTGAGTTGCATGAGATCCTTCAAATTCTAGTGTACCGATGTGGTGTATCCGTATTGGTTGAAACATGACTGACACACGTACAGTAGATCGTACTCAGATCATAACACCCTTCACTGATCTCTCCGTCGCTGCTCCCAAGGAAGTGACAGATTTACTCGAGAGCTAATTTTTTGTTTTTGATGAAGCTGGTGATGTTACTACGTACTGTCGTCGCTAAGATGGTGGCAATGGATGATCCAAAGCTTGTGGCCTAACCCAACCATTGCCGTCATAAACGATCATAGAAGTAGGAAGTTGCCCACCTTCTATCTTAGACCACGCCATTCCAACATGGCACTCCTCTCGTGGCTAGGGCATGTGATTTCCACCTCTTCCTCCGTCCTCATCCTCTTCCTGTTTCAGTTTCACCTCGCACGGGCCCAACCTTCCAACTCCACGGCACCAGCAGTGCCGGCTGTCATCGCCTTCGGGGACTCCATCGTCGATCCTGGCAACAACAACGTCCTCCTCACCATCGTCAAGAGCAACTTCCCACCTTACGGCCGGGATTTCGCCGGGCATGTGCCCACCGGCAGGTTCTCCAACGGAAAGATCAGTGCAGACTTCATAGGTACGTCTGTCGCAGAAAGAGGCATCAGCTTATCGCTTCACAATAATGTTGGCTGATCCATTTGCCTCTCCATGTGTATCTCCACAGCTTCTATGCTTGGAGTCAAGGAGCTGTTGCCGGCTTACCATGGCACCAACCTTGGACTCAAAGACCTCGCTACCGGTGTAAGCTTTGCTTCAGCCGGAACTGGATACGATCCTCTCACGTCAGCAGTGACGGTATCGTATCTCTTCAAACATTTACGCCAATCTAAGCTTATTACATCGTAGATCTGCTGCACAACATCGTTATCTATGATCTAGTTAGTCACACCCATGTGGAAGCAACTGGAGTTCTTCAAAGAGTACAAGAGAACGTTGACGGGAAATCTGGGAGAGAAGAAGTTGACGAGGCTCCTTTCCGGCAGTCTGTTCATCGTTTGTGCAGGATCCAACGATGTGGTTGCGTACTTCAGCAATCCGATGCAGCAGCTCAGCCATGGCATAAGTTCCTACGCGGAGTTCTTGATCCAAAGTGCTTCAAGATTTCTCCAGGTAAGCTCAGAATGAACTTTTCATTCATTCACATCAATATTTTGTTGTTGTGATGCCGTACAAACTCCATGATAAGCTACATCATGTATACTACTTTGATCAAATAAAACACATGTAAATGCTTCGAATTGGTGCATTAACATTCTCTGTACACTGCAAGATGATGAACTAGTCCTTCATTTTCACCTGCAAAATCTTCTATCCGTCATCAACCTTCCTCACATTTTCGACCAATGGGATCTTGCCATAAGAGCTTGCATTAAAATCATGACATTGCCATAAGTATTTCGTCATTCAGTTCTTTAACAAGTTGTGAAAAGGTGTTCTATCTGTTGGAGTGACTCCAATGTCCAAGTACTAAGTTTAGGCTAAAACCAGTAAACACAGTCCTTTGTATATCAATTAATGAATCTGCAACACCAGCAACGAAAAGAAAGTCCTTTTTTATTGATCTTTGTTGCATATGCTTCTCTCTTTATGAGGACCGAAATCTATGACTTCAAAATCTAGGCCAGTTTGATGGAGTAGCATATTTGCAGGCCAGTTTAATGCAGATGTAAGAGAAACACCATCCCTTTGTACCAACTTGAAGCTTACATGCAAACAATAGATAGCCTCAACAACCCTATGATTTAGTGAGTGTACACATATGTGGGAAAAGGAATCTCCAGGAAATGACTGAGTTGTCATTGGACACTGAAGCTAAGAAAACATGAAGTTGCACATGGTGGCCATTAACATGGCTATAGTATAGGCAGGCCCCACTGTTCAACATCAAACTTCCATTTGAATGAATCAAAACACCTTTTATGTAATGGCTCTGCATTCAGGGATCAGACACAATCACATTCACTGCGAAGTGTCCTATGCTTCCTGTCTTATGATAGGATTTGGTTGGTCTCGGAGCAAGAAAGGTGGGTGTTGTAGGAATTCCACCAGTTGGATGCATGCCATCACAAAGAATTGTGGGTGGTGGACTCTCCGGGGATTGTGCAGCGGATCGGAACCAGTTAGCACGGACTTACAACGCAAAGCTGAACGTGGAGCTACAGAGGCTTAATTCCAACCTCCAAGGATCAAAGCTGTTCTACGTTGATGTCTACTCCATCTTTCTTGACTTTATCCAGTGTCCTTGGAAGTATGGTATGCTAAGAAACGAGCTTGTTCTCTCCATGCATGATGATTTCATCAAGCTAGTCTTCTTTGTTCACTTGTGCAGGATTTGAAGTTTCCAAGCTGGGCTGCTGTGGCACCGGAACTGTGGAGGTGGCCGAGCTGTGTAATGTTCTAAGCACGACCTGTAGAAATGCTTCGGAGTATGTCTTCTGGGATAGCTACCATCCAACCCAAAGAGCCAACGAGCTCCTCATCGAAATGCTGATTCAAAAATACGCCAACTTCATCAAATGATGACATGCAAAACAGTCAGCTGTGATCTTCGATTTCAGACATGTTGTGATGAAAACCATTGAGAATACTCATCCATTTTTATATTTCTCGAGTATTAAATGCATTTAAAGCCGCCGTGCAGGAGAGATTCCTTACAGGACATATCCAGCAAATCCTGACCAATATGGTGAGAAGTAATTGATCATACTGAGATGCTGAATCATATCACCATCAGCCGTGTCAGCGTCCACCCATGCATGCATATCTATGTGGATAAAGATCATACTGAGATATTAAGTCAATACATGTATGTAAATAATAGATACAGTATTCAATAATGTGGATTTTGAGTGAAGAAATCGATCCATGGCCACACGTGGCGCAAACAAATTCTACCCGAAAACTTAATTAGTATGGAGGAACTCATATTCTTGGATACTAATTAGATTTAGATTTATGTCGCCTCACATCTTTCACACTATTATTCATAAGGTGGATGTTTATGCTTAACTGGTAAAAGAAAAGCTTGAAGCATAATTTTACCGATCATTCTCGATCTAGATCGGGGTGATTCCTCTTGTCATCAGTATAGTTTTCTTCTTCCTCATGTCATCTACTGGAAGTGTTAGGTTAGTTTTTGTAATTAGTACTTTTGAGTTTGAGAGTGTTCAAACCCTGTAAAACTAATTAAAAGAGTTGTCTGAAATTTGAAGGATTCAGAATGAGCTCTAAAAGAGTTGTCTTCAAGTGAATACACTAGGAGAGTCCTTTGATGTTGGTTATGGGGAACATTTGTGTGTTTCTCTCAGGTTTGATTGTGATCATGTCACATTGAGTTCTTTAACCTGCCAACGTTAGATCGGCGTTGGTGGTGACGTTGAAGGACCTAATCGATGTTTGCTCGCTAAAGCCCTCCTCTCTTCTTCAAGCATCCTAAGGCACTAGATCTAAGGGTTGGAGGAGACTCAGACCTCAGTGATGGGGTGGGTTGACTCTACACCCAATCACTCTCCTCCTCCTAATGCACCCTCTCCTAATAACCCAAAGTATTCCCTTTAACAATAATACAATCAAAATAGGCCAATGTGCTTGCTTTGTTGATGACACAGTCAAAGCGGCCCAAAGTGCTCCCTTTAACAACAATTTAGTCCAGATGACCCAAAGTGTACTAATTGATGATAAGATTACTGAACTATTTTTTTTGGTGTAGGTAGTTAATTAGAAGTCTTATAATGCCTTGACTTGACTATACTTGTCGAGGCACGATGAGGGGTAAGTGATATGGAGTAATAACATAAGAAAGATTACAAACATCTCAACACTACATGGCTGATATCTTATTGTTATGTGGTTGATACCTCACCTGATACCTTGATATTGGATGAGTGATGCATCATTACTGTTCAAGTGATATAGTGATTAACAACCCTATAAAAAATTAGTACATTAGATCTAACTCAAGTAGTCATTACCCTATATTCCTCAAATTTAGTGCTATACGATCACGTGTGTGCTATACGGTCAAATACCACACCGTAAAAAGCTCCCAAGTATGTTCTCAATGGGGCCCCTCCTTCTCTAGTGAATTACACCTTTCATATTCGATACTTAACTATATTTTCCAAACTCTTTATTGATTAAGCATAAGTCCTCGACA